GGAAAAATTTTAATTCACCTTTATTTCCTTTCTAGAATGGATTTGACGCCTGGAACAACAAATTTTGAGTAAAACATTTTTTAAGAACATGTATTTTTAACCATCTTTCATATCTTCAATTGTCCGGGAACTTCCCTCAAATGTGTCTGGAAAATCAGGAAAATGTCAGGGAAATTCATTTTCTACACGGACAAAAATGTATCACAATCCCAACTATACTCCTGGCTGATTTTGGCGTCAGTTATAAGAGAAGTTGCACCTGCCAGAGGTACAGTTGAGTCAGCCAAAAGTATGGTTGGATAAACCAATGTAACCAATTCTTTTTTTATTTCAGTGTAAATTTTGTGGCAACTCTGATATGCGTTGTTCCTAAAATGAGCCAAACATTGTAGTTCTTTTTTGCAAAATGTAGTCCACATATCGCTCGCCAGTTCGACCACACTAGAGTCCCTTTATACTGAGAGTCAAGACAATGTGAATCCATTTCTGATTGGTTCCCGTATCTTAGGCCTTCGTGTCACAAACGGGAATAAAGATTACATTTTCACCGATTGCAAAGATTATATTCTGGAATGGACCAAGGAATTACGGGTTCGGCAAGGAACAAACGGAATGAGAGAAGGAACGGAGAAAGGAATTTGAGAATGGGCCGATCAAAGATTAGAAAAAACGTTCAATTTCTGTAATCTTTATTCCCGTTTGTGACTCCATGAGGGGGTGTTGTATTGACTCTCAGTATAAAGGGACTCTAGACCACACCAAACCTGAGACAAATCACCCTGAAGGAAAGGGTTTGGCGTTGAAAATGCGTGACGCCCGACAACCCTGGGCGCGGCGGCACCCTCGACGGGACTCCTGTGACGGGAGCAGCCCCAGCTCCGTGGGGTGGGAAATCCGCGTTTCTCTTGGCGCACCTCCGTCTTCGATTAGTGCACCTTTTCCGTGCTCAACAGCTCTAATTCATCGCCGCTGCACCACCGCCACCGCCGCCATGCTCCGACGCCACCGCACACCCGACCCGACCCACTCGAGGGGAGCCAGCCCCGGCCGCTGATAAGGAGCTCCGCGCCCGCGGAAAAGCGCCAGATTAATCAAGCTAAAACATACGCCACGCATCGCATGATGCTTCGCCCGGCTTTGCCACGTCTTACCATCCCGCCAGCCATTCGTCTGTTCTCATTGTTCGTGGAGATGTGACCGTCCGTGGGAAACAGTCGCGGATGCAAGGGATTTTCGAAGGGATGCGAAAGATTTTAGGGGCTGTTTGAGTATTATGTGAGCTCATTAAACACTGGAAAAGGAAAAAACACATTAGATCTAGAGTCCAGACTCTTGAAAACATTGACAAGAAAAAAATTTCTCCCTTGATCAAAAAGAACTACCCTTTTCAACCAATACACTGGGGAAAAAAACACATTGGATCTAGAGTCCAGACTCTTGAAAACATTGGCAAGAAAAAATACTCTTGATTCAATCGGATTTTCGCTTGAATCAAAACGAAATCCGCTTAAATTAAGAGGCTTGGTTCTTGATTTAAGCTAGATTCTGATTGAATCAAGAGTACTTTTTCTTGTCGTTGTTTTTAAGAGTCTGGACTCTAGATCCAATGGGTTTTTTTCCAGTGAAGGAGGAAGTGGTCTGCAGGCTGATTATTGATATTGATAGACAAAACGATAGACAAAGAAGACATTGAGCGATTCTACGGATGATTATTGGTATTGATAGACAAAACGATAGCCAAAGAAGAAATGAAGCGATTCTACGGGTGATTATTGATATTGATGTACAAAGCGATAGACAAAGAAGAAATGGAGCGATTCTAAGGGTGCGAGCGGGTGGCTGCAATAGACAAAGGCGGTAAGCGATAGACTGACTAACGGCAATCCACGAGGGACCCTATAGTTAGTCCATCATTTTCTCCCTAAGTCTACAGAAGCCGTCCTTTCAACCAACAGGCTAGCTTCCTTTTCATTTTGTCTTCATTTTCTATAGCTTTGTCTGTCCATTTCAATTATCAACCCATTGAGCTTGCCTAACGAGGTCTTGGAAAGGGGAGAGGTTACGCCCCGTTTCACGAAATAAGCATTTCTATTTGAAAATGTGGTAATATTTTCCGATATAACTAAAATTTCAGCCATTTTTTAGTTTTCTCCAATAGTTTTCGAAAAATGTGTGTGTGCGAAAATATCCTTGGGTGTTTCATCCTTCCGAAAACGTATGGGTTTTTTTCAAAACTCAAATACGTGAACACATACTCAGTGTGTATTAGTAAATCTATAGGAGTGAATTCAGTGCGAGGAATAGAACACATTTTGTCGCTGAGATAGATAGCATGATCGAAAAATGTCCAAAGTGCACTATTTTCGTCTAGAGCGGCAACGTAGCCCTTACAGTTCACACAAATCCCATTTCTGAGAAGACACCCCATTTCGCGAGTTAGAATCACGCAATACTCTAATCAGCTTCCCTAATTATTCCATAGCCGAGAGCTTCACCATTCATCCTCTTCTCAGAATTTTGCCTTCCAGAAATCGTTTTTGCAACCTTGATTCCACAGAATTCATGATTTTGCCATTGACTGCCCGAAACATTTCGTGGAATCATTAAAATAGGGAACTCTTGATGGAGAAAAGCAAGGGAATATGCAGTTCTTCCTATTCCTCTATTTTCCGGGTAAAGAGGCTTGATCATAATTTCAAATTTTAGGGAGGGTGAGGGGGGCTCACTTTGACTCCTCGACTGCCACGACCAACCACTGCATGCGACAACTCCATTCTCTCCATCCAATCAGAGTTAATATATATTTTACAGACCCCGCTTTAGACTTTTAATTGGCGAGGCAAAAGTTAATTTCAGGGATCAGGGCTAATCTTCGTCTAATCATGATTATTGAGCAAATTATTGAACAAAAAATCCAATACAATTTTTCTAGTGATGACTGATGAAAGTGGAGGTACGCATTTTGCTAAGGGAGTTTTTGCAAAGAAAATGAGGGTAATCCTAATTTTCTTCGCAAAAACTGCTTAAACCAACTGCGGGCTGATTGTTGAAATTGATAGACTAAGCTATAGACAAAGAAGACGTAAGGAGTATGGCGCGATCTAATTGGTTGAAATGGGTGGTTCTCATAGACCGAGAAAACGATGGACTAACGAGGTCCATTACCCACCTACTTGGTCCATTGCAACCACCCACTTTCACCAATGGGACCCCTCCATATTCTTTTTGTCATCTTTGTCTATCGTTTTGTCTATCAATTTCAATAATCAGCCCACTGTTCAACTCTTTGATCATCAGTCAGGCGAATATGAACGTTGACTACCGGAAGGATCTTTTACCCTAAAAGGATGATAGTAGTGCCGGGTCTTTAAAATATATTACGTGTCCAATTCCCATGTCAACACATCAAACATGTTTGGGATTAGAATTTCGGGGGGGAAAAAAAAAAGAAAAAAATGCTGCGAAGCTTGGGTTTGGCAACGAAGTCGGAGCGGACTGGAAATAAGTTGGCTCGTAAAGCATGGTGCCGGGGTTCCCCGACGGAAGACCATTTCGCGAGCAGTCTCCTAAAACAATCTTTTTTTGGGAACCGCTTGTTTATACGCCATGTCGAATACCAATCCAGGCTCCGTGTAAACATGTTTACATTAGGCCACCTCAGGCTCGGACTCGGACCCGAATTCACGCCGCTACAACCTCGCAACCCCCCCCCCCCCCCCCCCCCCCCCNCTAGCCGCGCACCACTCCTAAGCTCGACTTTACAGCATTTTAATCTCGAGTTCAATGAAAGTCCTTCGCGGTCACCGTTGCCACTTTATCGGGGAAATTCCGAAATTTTCCGTGGAGTCTAATCGACATCTATGTAAGTCTGTCGAGAAAAAGAGCAGCGGGCTGACTGTTGATATTGATAGATAAAGCTATAGACATAGAAGACAAATGGGATATGGAGGGATCCTACTGGTTGAAACGGGTGGTTGCAATGGACAAAGGAGGTTGTAATATACTAAGTAACGGCAACCCACGAGAGACGCTAAAGTCAGTCCATCATTTTCTCCCTTAGTCTATAGGAACCACCCATTTCAACTAATAGGATCGCTCCATACTCCCTATGTTTTCTTTGTCTATCGATTTGTCTATCAATTTCAACAATCAGCACAATCTGCTTATGTAAAATTAACCGCATGCATGCTACATATGTATATTATTTGAATGATGTAAAGAATCTTAGGCAGCTACTTTTACATGTTTTTGGATTTTAAAAAAAAATACACAATAATCAAACAAGAATCAAGGTTTTACAATCTCGCCATTAATAATGTGGTACCAAACATGGGTTCGACTGTCATTTTCAGTATACTACCTCTACGCAGTGACCTTTTTCTACCCTCTGTGCGCTCCATGCAAACTCTTGAACGTAAGCCTTAAATTTTTGCCGTGCGGAACAAGTTTTTCACCGAACAGACGAATGCGACGAGCAATATCGACAACCTCAGCTTAGTTTTTAATCTGCGCTCTGCCAGGCGTCAATGGCGTCATCAACTTCCTGGATTTTTCCGACGGTGGCAGATGCTGTAATTTATTCATGCCTTTTTATTTTTTGGTGAAAAATATCAAACTATTTAAATATATTTTAGGGGTGCTAGGTAGATTCCAAAACAAACTTGAAATGATCTGTAATTATAATGAGTATCCGAATGTTCATCAGTATGGCGTGGCTTGCTTTGCGATGTATTGACTGATCTGCCATTTAAACCTATGGAAAAGGATCGATAAACAGGGTGTTCGCAACGAACGCATTAATAATCGATTCTTTACCATAGCTTTAATAGGGGAAATATCGAAAATCGATCATTTACACCTCGTCGCTGCTTTTCATCACTCAGAGGAAAGGTTTTTTAAAATTAAATTAGCAACAACGCTGCATTCTGACGTTTAAATCCAAGTTTAGCTCGGTTGACGCAAAAAATTAATTGATCCAACCTTGAAATTTGCGTCCATCATATTGACATAGGTAGTCCCTTACTTCTCAGTTTTACAGTCTTGAATTTTTAACTAGAGTAAGAGTGCGTCTATAACGCGTAGGACTACCAATAATGTCGAGTCTTCCAACATGTAAGTTAATGCCTGTCTTTCATAATTCATGAAGTTATAAGTTTTGAAGTTTCAATTTTATCTGTCGCAGGCAATCAGCAATCTCCGGCAATGTGTAAGCCACTGCTAATAAATAAAAAATCGTAAAATATAAAAATATCGTAAAAGAACAAGATTAGAGTTTTGAATGTTTTGCCCTTAGTTGAAATTGAAAACTTGAAATATACGTTTTTCCTCCACAAAAGCATGGTAGCACGTAGCATACGTGCTATAAGCCCTGGATAGACGATCAAATTCCGAACCAATTCCGATCAAAGTAGACATGCTGATGACTGATGGTCACCATCTACCATCAAATTTTGACGGGCCGCACTATTTTGTTCAAAGTGAGATCAGAATTGAGTGCCACCATTCATCATTTCCTGCCCCCAGGAAACATTTCTGTCAAGTTTTCATTTTAAAATTAAGCAAATTAATGAGTTTAAGACTGATGACTCCCGACACGTTGATGGTAATTGGTTCGGAGATTTGATCGATTATCGAGACCTTAAGAGCGTGTAGTGCAGTCGGTGATCTTGGATGAGTTTGGGTCGGACAGGCAACTAAACTAACTGCCTGGCAAAGCGGAGAGTATCACTGTGATTTGAAGGAGCTCGGTCGTGCTTTTGAAGTTCTGTACCGATGACCTGTTCACTATAGGTATGAAAGCAAATTATTCCACTTGATGAATAAACGCGCATGCTGCTTGCGGGTGGGAGACAACACATAGTAATAAATACAAATCAACTTTGTGAATATCTTTGGTGTTTAAAGTCAAGGGTTTCTTCTTTATCTTGTTCCCCTTTTTATGTGCTTAAATTAAGTTGAACTGCGTTTCAGGAACATGAACGCATCAGCGGTACACGGAACATATCTGCTTTCTTCATGAGTTGTTTCGCGGTCGTGTTATTTTGCCTCCTATTGAGCAGGGGCATGGGAACTAAGATGACTTACGGTTCCGTTTGCGTTGATACTGGTGACGTCATAAAGGTCTCCTACTTCTCCTGCCGTCAAATATTTTTGCCTCCGTACCACGCGGCCTTTGCCTTAAACAGACACCACATCATGCATATTGGAGGTAGAGGAGGCAAACTCCGTCCGCAAATTGCTTTTGTGCGGATGTTCCGAAATCTTTGGACAAAATTTCCGTAAGTTACGAGATAACAAAAATTAGTAAAATTTTCTCTGACTGAAAAGTTTGAGGATGCAGGTATTGGCATAAAAAAGGCAAATAGGGTACGCATAGCGCCTTCAATCTTCGAGATAGGCTAGAAAGCATCTTCTGTGCAGCAAATGGTTATCTATGCGCGTATTTGTCATTCGTGCTCTCGATAAATCTAGCTTCGCAGTAAATTATGTGAAATTCTGCCGAACGATTTTGACGCCAACCTGGTTTACGCATACCTTTACTACTAATAAACAACACAATTATTCGCTAAACTGAATCTTCAGTCTATTGAAGCTCGCTCATTCTGTCAACCGGAGAAGTTGGTTCGTGCGACTTAGAATCCCGTCCTCTTGCTGGACCAAAAATTACCCTCTTAACTTATTGTTAGAATAACTATGGTTTTTTCACCGTGTGTCACTTCCTAACCTGACAAATTAGCTCAGTTACACTTGTCAGCAGGTGAGCGATCCAATCGTCAAGAGTACTGTCGCGATAGAAAAAAGAGCAATAACTGTCAAATTTTCGAAATCGAGTTTTCTTCAAAATTCGTCTAATCTCTTTTAGATGAAATCACTGGAATAGCTAAAACACATAAATTCATCTGAATTGTATAAAAACGACACATGCGAAAGCCGCAAGTGCGCAAAAAATGACGTAGATGGGCAAAACAGTTGTAAATTACATTATTCCTCCAGAGAGCCAATGAAAAATAGTGCTTACAAGTAAAGCCATCTTCTGGCCATCTTGCCATCTTCTGCCAATTTTTAGACTGGAAATGTGTTTGTTGTGTGTCCAAAACGCAACCACGAAAGCATGCACAGGAAAGAACTTACGGCTGTCTTGCCTGGCGCTGGCCTAACATGAAAATGAATAATACCCCTTTTATATACTTTAAATAAAATCGGTTGAGTTTTAATCACCCAAACGATTCATAGGGGTCTTCCGGATGATTAGTGTCAGTTTGACAAAGAACGGAGGCTTCTTTCAATAAAATTCTCCGGTCAGGCGCTTCGAAGTCATCCCAAAACCTCATTATTGCACTTACTGCTCTCTTTGCTATCACGACAGAATAGGTGATCGGATCGCCAATCCTAGTGTTTAAGAAAAACTCTTAATCTGCATGTTTACCTTTAAGACCTAATATTGAGACAAAATTTCAAATTGGATACTCAGGGTGGAAGTGCTGAAGCCGGACCCGGCCCGAAAGCCGGTCGTGGAGAAAGGGTTGATAATCGCTGCGAGGATGAACAGGCTCTTCGATGCTCTGCCATTTCGGCGCCTGACTTGCAACTGCCGGCATTACACGGACTACTTCGTCTACGGTAAGACTTTCGGCAGCTGGAAGACCTTCGGTGAGGGCTACTGGCCCATCGACGCTCGCTGCCCCCTCCATCGCGAGATCACCAATGAAACGGACGTCACAGCTCCGCACTTTTACCTCCTGGACAAGTACGGCAAGCCATACCCTCTCTTGTCGAACTGGACGGACCCTGTCGAAGAGGGAAAGAGGTTAGACGAGAGGGAGAAGGTGAAGAGGAGGTCCAAGGAGAAGTATGAGAGGTCCATTAGGGAGTATGAGGAAGGATTGATCAAAATTACCACCGAAGTCAAGAGGGGTTAGTTCTGTGATTTGGATGTTAACTCGTCAATAATATAAATAATAAATACCATAAAAATAAGAACTAATAATGAACACAAGGAACTTTCTTGGAAAAATAAGAATCATAATAATACATGAAATCAAAATTAAAGAGTCAAACAGTATAAAGAGAATTTTTAACGGTTCATTTTTTGGCACCTTCACTCAGTGGCATACATGAACCATTTTTCGTGAGCATCGAGAAACGCAAAAAGAACTCCTATAAATGTTTAAATTAAATGTTGAGTATTTGGGAAGTTAGGAATCTGAAATTATAACTCGTAATTTAGATTGGAGAGTATGAAAATTTAGACAATTGGACGTATTTATGCTAAAAGGAACTATGTGCATAGGATTTGCTTGAGACATAGTTCCTTTTAGCATAAATACATCCAATTTATACTCATATTTAAAATTGTGAATCATTGATGGGAAAACCCTTAAATGACCTCCATGATATTTTAGTCTCTTTGCGTCTTTCCAACTCCTTACTTGTTGATGTTTTTCATCCAGTCCGATGTAGTGCGTCAATCTCCGACCTCAAAATTTCGCATGCAGAAAAAAAGAAAGCATGCGATCATGAAGTCGGGGAAAAAATGGATTCAGCGTTATTAGGAAGTAGAGTCTCCCCATCCTCAAGTGTAGAATAACAAAATACACAACCTGCGTTGAAGGTAAAATACTTACGCTGCATCATCTGGTTTTAAATCAGCCCTACGCCAAATTGCATAGAAACCATCCGTCGTAAAGAGCGAGTTACAATAAAATTTCGAAGGAAGTGCGAACACAGATACTTACGAAAATCGCCTAATTCCCCCACACTATCAATTGCAACACTATTAGTTAGCAACACTATTTAATTGTAGATGTAGTCGAGACTAAAGCTCAGTTCTTTATCCTCTATTAAAAAAAAAAAAAAAAAAAAAAAAAAAAAAAAAAAAAAAAAAAAAATTAGACTGATTTTGAATGAACATTGATAGATGCCTTCCTACATTTTAGTGTTTTTTCCGAGAAAAATACTCTACTTTTTGATTGGTGAGAAAGTAAAGGGGAGTCTACTGGATCGATCGAATGTGTTTTTATCAGTTTAAAAGCAATAATAGCACCACGAATTACGGTAGAATACCAAGAGAAACATTTTACTGAAATCATTTAACTATGCATGTTCTATTATTCACATAAATCATTAAACTTCTGTTTTGTTCCTATATAAAACCCCCCCTATTTCTTACCATACGCCGATATGCGCGGTGAAAATTTGGATTTAGTTTCATCATGGCGGCAGCGCTGTAACGTGGAAGCAATCAAGTGGAATTCGTATTGGCCTCTTGTCTCTCTTCAAGTCCTGAACCCTCTCCACGAACGGACGCTTCTTTCGATTTGTTTTACATTTCGAATATGGGTTTGAATACCTCAAGAATACTGAATACCTAGCGTGTGGGTCTTCGTAAACCCGAATCGCTCGAAAGTCCAGCGGCGAACATTTTATTGCTCTTACAGGAACAGAGATTCCTTAGAGATCGTTTCAAATATTGATCCTACGTTTGATAGACCCTTTCCTTCGTGCACTTTTCCAGTTCTCTTTATTGTTATTACGTTCATTTAAATACACATCCGTCTACGTAGCCTGCGATCTCGTTGCACGGAGGAAAATTCAGATGTAAGGTTTTCTACTGACTTCGTTGCATAATATAACTTCATGTCGTCGTTACTAGGTTTTAGCTTTAAGCTAACCCTCCATTTATCTGAAGGGTGAAACATTATTAAATAGTTTAATTTTCTATAGGCACTGTTAATTGGATTACATTTTGCAATGAAGAACAACTATCTCTTGTTCTTCTGTAAAAGCACCTTTCTGCAAAGGGAAACTAATGGCATATATGTTGTTTCTAAAACAAGCCAGAAATAATGATTCTAATTGAATCGGCTCGTGCGAAAACCGCTAATGTCCATTTTTTTCAATTTTGAGATTTTTGGGTTAAAATACTCTCGGAGGTTAGACACACTCATTAATGTGGTGAAAATGTTTGTTCCTTAGGTTTGAAGCCCTTTTCAGGGGGGGTCGTGGTCCGAATCATGCGAAAACCGCTAATGTCCATCTTTCGTTATATGCCTCATTATACTGTACAACAAATCAAAATAAAAAAATGTCTCCTGGACGAAATTAGGTGATTTCCGACTGCATAATGCATAATGCATAATGCATTTCCCTGCATAATGCAGATAAAATTTTTCGTAGCTACGAGATTCAATTACGCCGATGTCTTTTTAACTGATGAGTCCGGAAATGACCTTAATTTTTCCCGTTCACCTCTCAGTTTTCCGGGAAAGCAACTTTATCCCGGGAAAATAAGCAAATCCGACGCATATTTGTCGTGCATGCAATGTATTTTTATAAATTTTCCTGGACCAGTGGTAGCATGTTACTCATGTATTTTGAGCTGCTAAATCCGGATATGACGTCGGTTTCTTTTTATCACACGTCAGATTTCCGGTAAAGCCGAGTTTTCCGAGCCTAAAATTGTGTATTGTAAAAGCTTTGCCGGATCGAAGTGTATTCAAAATTCATTGCATGAATGTCTCCGACATGTGATACATCGGTTCCTTTGTATTTTGATCTGTTGAATTCAAATATGATCTCAGATTTTTCCGATCACCCATTATTTTTCCGGAAAAGTGGCTTTTCCTAGGAAAACGCTCTTTCCAGATATTTTTGCGATGATTTTGCTGCTCTAGGGAGTTTCAGAAATTTTCCGAGATCCTCTTTAGGTCTCTCTCGCTGTATTAAGAGGCACTGAACTTGAATTTGACCTTCGCTCATCTTTGACAACCACCCCGTCTTCTAGAAGGTCCGATTTTTCCGGGCCAAAAGTTTTTCCGGACTGTTCTCACTTCCAGGGAAATTCAAAACATTTTCCGCATGTGTGATACATCGATTCTCATGTAATTTGAGCTGAAAACCCCGAATATGACCCTAGAAATTCGTTTTCACCTGCCGGAGAATTTCTGAAACTCCTTAGAGCAGCAAAATCATCGCAAAAATATCTGGAAAGAGCGTTTTCCTAGGAAAAGCCACTTTTCCGGAAACATGATGGGTGATCGGAAAAATCTAAGATCATATTTGAATTCAACAGATCAAAATACAAAGGAACCGATGTATCACAAGTCGGAGACATTCATGCAATGAATTTTGAATACACTTCGATCCGGCAAAGCTTTTACAATACACAATTTTAGGCTAGGAAAACTCGGCTTTACTGGAAATCTGAAGTGAGATAAAAAGAAACCGAGGTCATATTCGGATTTAGCAGCTCAAAATACATGAGTAACATGCTACCACTGGTCCAGGAAAATTTATAAAAATACATTGCATGCACGACAAATATGCGTCGGATTTGCTTATTTTCCCGGGATAAAGTTGCTTTCCCGGAAAACTGAGAGGTGAACGGGAAAAATTAAGGTCATTTCCGGACTCATCAGTTAAAAAGACATCGGCATAATTGAATCTCGTACCTACGAAAAATTTTATCTGCATTATGCAAGGGATAGCAGTCGGAAAAACACCGAAAATGCCCCAAAATGGTCATTTTTCCGAGTAAAATCGGCTTTTCCGGGAAATTTGAGGGTAATGGGAAAAAACGGAGGTCATAATCGGATTCAGCGCATCAATATACGTAAGGATAACTTTCTTTACCCGAAAGGCATACTGAAAAATATGCGTTTTCGATGATTTAGAACCGACCATGCACGAATCATGCGAAAACCGCTAATGTCCAGTTTATTGCTGGTCGTTTCGTGATGAAACTTGCTTTAAGTGCCGCAATTGTCAAGAATTTTAGTTTTACAACTTTATTTGAATGATAATCTACCATTTTCATACCTTTAGAATGAATTTTGAAAGTATCAAACGGTGCCAAAACTCGGAGATTTTCACGAATCATGCGAAAACCGCTAATGTCCAGAGTCTTTTCTTTTTAATTATTCCGTCCCAGACAGAGGAGGAGCTGGAAACTGTTAGGGATCCTTTTCTACAATCCTCTCCTATAATAATTAACTTCTGAACATTTTTTAATTCCGCATTTTAAAGGCTCCTACAGTTTTTTGCAGTTCTCTCAAAATTAGAGAAAATGGACATTAGCGGTTTTCGCAGGAGCCGATTCAATTGCTAAATGCAATCGAATTACGCCTCGATCAGACTCATTTAATCAAGGTAGACTTTAAAGTTGTGGTTGAATCAGTCGAAAAATCTAGTCGCGTTGCAGGATTAGGATTTTTGGTCCTGCGTGCAAACTTCTACCTTTCATTTTGTAATCATCCATTGTCCCTTATCGGTTCATCCATTTACCCGGAAAGTTATCATACTACTTGGTAACCACTACTAATCACGCAGAAGAACAAAATTTTGGTTCCATTGCAGTTCACTAACTGCCTATTGACTCAGAGCCATAACCCCTAGCCGCTGGAACATTTGGGCTTGCGATATTGGTTATTAGATTGCCCTGTTTTATTTTTTAAGAAAAGACCCAACCAATATCACGGCTTAAATTTTCCACAAAATATATATATATTTTTTTTTAATGAGAGGAAAAATCACTGAAATTTCCAAAATGACGTTCTGTCGTTTTAAACGTAGAAATAAGTATGGCAGGATGTCTGCAACGCTACAAATCAAGATACGCATTTCTGCAGATTCACCATCGGTATTGAGTTTCAGAAAAGGTAGAAAACTGAATGAAGATTATAATAACCTCTGATGATCGTCAAAAAAAACTTGCTCCAGGAGAAATGTTCTATTTAAAATTTCCCGGAGAAGCATTTTCTTTTCAATCAGCTTAATTATTTTTCCCACAAATGGACTTTTCCTCGTTATTTTCCAAACCTTATACAATGCTCCCCGAAAAAACCTTGAATTCTCTTTCAGGAAACCCACGGGAAAACTTAAATTACTGATCTAACAATTTTGGAGTAAAAAAAAGGGTCCGACATGCTTCAGTGTATATTTACCATTAATACATGCTAATTTATCCACCCCTGAGGATAATTTGGCTTTCCACTTTTGTAAAATGTACATTTGAAAGATGTCGGGCATATTTTTTAACAATTCAATCGTTAAATCAGCAATCCATTTTTTCCGTGCATTTAGAGGAAGTTCCTTTTGATGCCAATGGAGAATGTTTTAATATACTTACGTCGGGTTTCTCGATTACACTGGGAAAAAAAACACACTGGATCTAGAGTCCAGACTCTTGAAAACATTGACAAGAAAAAGGACTCTTGATTCAATCAGAGTTA